GCCCTCCGCGTCGGGAGGACACAGGACAAATTTGCCGCGCTACTTTGGCCAGGTCGAATGACCCTTGTGACGGACGGTGAAAAAACGTCACGTCACAAAGTATAATTTATATTAAGTATATAAATGTTAATAGTAATTGAAAATGAAATAACTCAAATATCTCCTATGAATAAAGACTTTTATATTTGATAAATAACAAGCACACAAACAAAATTTTTTTATCCAAAATTCAATTTCCTAGTACTTCTAATCTACCAGCTTCTTGCATATTAACTTTATAAACTTGCATATTATCGTTGAATTTACTTTCTCTCTTTTACTTCAACTTGCACATTGAAAACCAGGTTATATACATATTGGTATATTCTCATATAGGCTCTAAAAATACTAGAAAATTGAGCTATTTTCTGTAGATAAAAAGAATTGCGACATGACGGAGCAATTTGGATATCGGATTCAGTTTCAGAACGTCAAAATACATAAAAATACCATGGTCTAATCTCCGTCAATCAACCATTAAATCAAACATTAAATTTATTTTGTGCTCTATATAATCGTCAGCTTTATTTAACTTCTTCCTTAAATGTGTGTTCGTAATTTTCCAACTTTTCTCTACATACAACAAGAAGTCCAAAAGAGGTAAAAGAATGCAAGTAGCTCAATCCTAAAATGTAGTAATTGAACAGCGTTACATCGATGTAAATGTTACGTATAAAAAGTAAATTAATTTCGTGAATTTCTTGATTAAACTTTGACTTCAATAAAGTCAGAAAACTAATTGACACACGGAAGAGTGGAATAAAGGAAACAGTTTAAAAGTTCTGTTTGGCATATTCTATTCTCAAAATGGCGTAAAATTTACGTAGTGCTTTAGAATCAAAGAAATAAAATACAGCACAGAGCGAAAATCGATCGCCACCTTTGGCACAAGAAAATCAAATACGAAATGATGAAACAGAGACTACCAAAGAACATACGAACACTATAGCGAGTTAGCACGAAGCTCGATAGTGAATATATGAATGTTTTACGAGAGAACTATATAGAGAAAGTTGTGTGCATCGCAATTGGCCGCACGAGCATAACGTTGCTACATCGAGTGTTTGTCTTTACTGCTGTTTCACGAGAATGTTTCATCGCGATATCTACGATAAGGAAACACTGAATGTTGACAATAATCTTCAGACCAGGGGTGGCCAATCTTTTTGTCTGGCATACCAATATGGAGATTCAATATCTTTAATGTGCACTGTGCTAGAATTAAGCAAAAAAATACCGTGATCTTATTTATACTTTAAAGCAAAAAGACTTTTTTGCTGGCAAAGTTTATTTCCTTTGCCATGTTCTGTTTTACATTCGTTTTATTGTAAAATAAATAGTTTAATACAAAAACGAAAAAAACGAACGCAGAGGGCCCAGGTGTAAAAAATAAATTTTAGTTGAGTAGTTTAGTTGCTATTTTACTGTGTCATTTTTAATTCTGATACGCGTGCTTTGGAGGTACCATTGAGAATGCTTTCGCATTCCACGAGTTACGCGGGTTGGCCACCCCTGCTCTAGACTATTAGAGAATCCTGATGCTCTCGATTTAACTCTCGGTCTCGTATAGTTGCGCGAATAGAAGGAAAATACTTTCAAAATCTTGAAAGCTACATTCTCGAAGCTCGTTGCTCGTATTATTTGATCACTAATAACGATGTTCTATAGAGATAATTGGCACAAATAAATTAATTCCGTGCGTAATAAATCGTGCGTAAAATATATAATATTGAGGTATCACATATTAACTCTGATAAATATTGTAATCAAATATTAAATATATATTAAGCCATTTATTGATATAAAATAAATATTATATCAATAAATACTTTTTTGTGTGATACCATTTTGTTCAAGGATCGCACACAAATAACGAATTAATATACCTACTTAAAATATATTTTGCCGCTGCCACGTACTTTTAATTAATTTTACCCCGTAATAACTTGAGATGAAGTTTGCTTAATCCATCACCTCGTAAGTACATTATCGGATGCATTAATATTAATGGTTGTCCCCGAGCGTTCGTGTCAATGAGAGTGACGTACAAGTCACTACAGAATTCGCCTTATTGAGTAAATGTTACTAATTTAGCTCAGTCGTACGTATCGCCTGCTTCATTTCTGACTGATCGCGCGCAGCGTACATTTAATATGCGTATTGAATAGTCTGTGCAGTGTGAGTGCTGTCATTGCCCTCAAGGGACGCGGACGGTTATGAAAGTGACGTGAAAGCGGAAAATTCGATTAGTATTACAGAAACGAGTAAAATTACGACATTTTCTCTCTCTCTCTCTCCTCCCTTCCCCTTCTCCCCCCCCCCCTCTGACGGTGATAATAGATCCTTAAAACACGTATAGCGTTTCGTGTTCGTCCGTTTATTTCCGGTAATTAAGAGCTACTACTTCCTCTTGAACCGAGATAATTGGCGCGACTGTAATTCTCCCTGTTATTACGCAGAGTAAATTTTTGTGCGCGCGATATAAATATCGCCAAAAATTTAAATGCAAAAAAATCATATTTATTCATGCACGCATTCATCCTCATTCGGATATATATCCACCGTACGCTTTATTACCGTTATACAAAAATAGTGCATAAAAATTCATAGAAATTATGTGAATACTTTTGCATGCAGAAAAAATAACGGTGCTTTGGTATGAAATTAATTCAAGCAAAATATATCATGTTACATAATATGTTGCATAATACGTTTTGTTAAAAAATTGCTGCAATATGATATTCCTATAGCATTGATATTATCGAGCGAAGGCGATCGGCACTTAGAGATCGGTACCCGAGATCTTCTATACTGTTAAATTCATAATATCTAATAATTCAAATTAAGTATAATTTAATATTATGAAAATTCGAAAGGAATTAGGGCTACGAGTCAAAGGTTAATTATTGTGAGTTAAATTATTTGTATAAACATATCATAACAATAAAAAACACTTTAATATCTGCTATAAACAATTACAAATTAAAGACAAAAGAACAAAGAAACAGACGTTTCGATCCCTATCGGATCCTTCTCAATGTTGAAATAAATTAAAATTATAATATGCGATCTCATATTATTTAGATGACATAATTGAAGCATGGTGCAATGAAAAACGGTAATATATTGTTCCTCCGTATAAATGCATGATTCTAATTTCTGTTGAGAAATACACTAATAAGTCAAGACTTATTAATTTATACGACTTATTAGTGTATTTCTCAACAGAAATTAGAATCATGCATTTATACGGAGGAACAGTATATTACCGTTTTCCATTGCACCATGCTTCAATTATGTCATCTAAATAATATGAGATCGCATATTATAATTTTAATTTATTTCAACATTGAGAAGGATCCGATAGGGATCGAAACGTCTGTTTCTTTGTTCTTTTGTCTTTAATTTGTAATTGTTTATAGCAGATATTAAAGTGTTTTTTATTGTTATGATATGTTTATACAAATAATTTAACTCACAATAATTAACCTTTGACTCGTAGCCCTAATTCCTTTCGAATTTTCATAATATTAAATTATACTTAATTTGAATTATTTCTAATTATTCCTGTAGGTCGCTACTGTTCCTATTCAATATGTCGTTAATTTAACTAAAACGAAGGAATTAAAGAATTTAATTTAAGATATGTATTAATTTGATTCTAAAGTGAATGTTGAAAAAAGGTCATTTCTTTGTTCAAAAAGATGTAAGTAAAAAAATAGTGTTTTTTTTTGTAGATTTTGCTCTCCTAAATACAATAAAACTAATTCCAGAAAATAAAAATTTACAAAAAACATTATTTCTTTTACTTACACCTTTTTGGGTAAAAATCAACTCTCTTTTAACATTCCCCTTTAGTTTATTATTTACTAAGTGAATACGTTAACTACGTTCCATGCCGCATAGAATCGGTGACCAACGCTGAACTTTCAGTTTAGACCGTTTAATATTTTAGCTATAAAAAGAAATATAATTATAAAATAATTCTTAATATCATGCGAAATACACATAATTATAATATGTGATGCAATATTTTACATTAAGACTTCTTCTTTATAATAATAATTTTTACAATTTTTTAACTATTACGAAATACATATTCTTTAACAAATATAACAAACGCAAACAAAAATACAGTGGGTCACCGATGATTCACACGACGTTACGATCAAATCATTTAAAATTGACACAGCATGGAACATGTTAATATGAACAATGTTTACTTTAAAATTAAACAATTCAATTACAGAAATAGGTCGGTTAGATGTGGTTATTTTTGTAATTAATCACATGTTCTCACGAAGTTTCAATTAATAATACATTTTGACATACTTGGAAGTTAAAAATAACAAAATGTTATTTAACTTAATGGAATTGGTATAAATTTAATCCTTTAATATTTAGCAGTGTAACGTAGCGGAAGTAAATTTAGAAAAGAGGAACACTCATTAGGCATGAATTCAACGATTGCAGTAGCAATCGGAACCGGTCGCGGTCCGACGGACATTATGACGACAATTAAAACATTAGGCCCCGTCGTAAACGACATTGGTGCTAAGCACGGAAGAAAGTACTGTGAGTTAGGTGTTCTCTATAAAAGTACATAGTCACTCAGTTTTGGCATCCAGTTGTTCGCTAGCTGCACCTACCGAGAGATAACGCCGACATGGTTACGTGGGTAAGTTCCTCGCAGTTGCCTCGGAACCGTTTCTCTTTAGTCGGTGAAGTAGCTGAAGAGGCCAAGTGAATGAAGTGCGCAAAGTTCGTAATCGTTTCTAAAGTACTGTGTACATAATACACAGCGTCGAATAAGAACTCATCGACGAGAATAATTCACATTTAAAGATAAAGATCTGCTTCCCCTCACGCATTCACCTTTTCCATTATTCTGATAAATACACTCGTTTTAACTCAGGCTTTTAATACCATTATGGATAATGGCCTACTATGTGATACAAAGCTCTAAATTTATCGTTGACATTCGTCTGGATTTTAGATTAAATTATCCGACGCAAGTTTGCGGACAGTTGACGTATAATGTCACAGATAAAAAGTCATTAGAATGTTCAGCGTCGGCGCGACTAAATGAAACATTTGCGATTAATTGATATGCGCCTGGAAATTTTCACGTTTCGCGAAGCTCGATCGCGTCCCTTCGTATCGCGTTAATTCGATTAAAAACGTGGCTGAAGTTCGTAATAGAGAAAGACATTTCGTCTTTTTGTCCCGGACTGTCCCTCCCCGTGCAAAACACGTCTCGCCGTTTCTGATCCCCGACGCCGACCGCGTCGTCCAGTCGACGTCGGGCATCGTCAGCATCTCGGAATCTTTTGTATAAATTGCTTTGTCGCTGATTAAATCCCGAGTTATTAAGCGCCGAAGTATTTGCATTTCAAGAAGAATATATCAGCGCTTCTCGCGGACGTCAATCGCCAGCTTGCAACTACTGCGGAACGAGGAAATTAGCGGCAGCGGAGACGGTGTCGCGATGCCATGGAATGAGATATTGCGGAAGGAACGATGGAGAGGGAAACCGAGATTCCCACTTCTGGAAGTTCCCTCGACAGAAATCTTTCTATTCCAATTGGATATAAGCGTTTAATTGTCCCCGAGTCGATCGAAAGCATTGAGTAATCGTTCTGAAAGCTCTTTCATATCATTCAGCGTGGGTCTCGATTGCAATTGACACATTTCGCGATATTATCCGTTCTAGAGTTTACATTAGACTTGAGAGAATACGATTTACTGGGTATTTTTAAATTTATATTTGCATTTGACTCGATTAAATTTAAAATATGATGATCGCAGATTTATTTCTAACAATCTCGTATTTTCGAAATTTTAAATCGCGTAATTAATTTGATAAACTCTAAAAATAGAATTTGCAGTAAACAAAATTCACTCACATGAAAAAAAATAATATAATGCAGGTAATAAAATAATATAAGTTTCCGAGCGCAAAACAAATGAAGAAAATACACATACCATGGTAATTTAATTTTCCTATTGTAGCCAGTTTTCATCTCAGATCAGTAATAATAAATAAAATCGAAGTGGTTTAACTATAGCATATAAGTAAGAAACCCCGTTTGAAAAATGATAAATAAAGCCGGAGAAGATAAGCGCAAAATTACATCATAGATTCAATCTAATTTCGTCAATTTCGATCGAATTCGATCCCGTGCCACGAGTGAATCGCAAAAGCGGATTTCTGAGAATGTAATTTAATCGTCTTCGGCTGATTCCCAATTCCTACACGCGTCGGTTCTACCGCAAAATTCGAATAAATCACCGGCGCGATTATATTCGAGCGTGATTAATTGATTTCTTGCGGCAAACATACCGCCAGCTGACCACGCTGATTTTCCTAACGGCTCGAGATGTGATTTCGGTTCTCGTTAGTCGAACGATTTCTCTCCCTTTCTTCCTACAGGGAATCCGCGGCAAGAAGGCCGAAACGCGATAAAACGATTCTCCGACGATTTACTGGATATTATCTCAGGCTCTTCCGCTCGAGCGTGCACGTGTACACATGTGTGCGATAAAAGTGAATGCTTGATATTGCACGATTTATATCTATTGAAAGCTAAACCTATTATCGGATCGTTTCTTTGAAACGACTATCTCTCTGTTTAGAATATGATTAGATAATAAGCAATGGACTCTGCTGAA